AGAGTGCAGGTAAGTCAGGTCCATCATCATTGCTGGGTAAATGGAAACATCTGTCCCCTAACAGCAGGCAGGCAGTATCCTTGCACCACAGACAGTATCCATGCTGTCTCTCCACTTGTATGTTTCACAGGGTAAAAGTACATAGCACTTACTATTCTAGCTCATTCTATCGAAACAATAATAAAGTACTTAAATCCTATAAACAAAGTCATTATTTAATGTATTTTATTTAAAAGTAAGTTTTGGGGTTTTCGTATTACTCATGCCCCCTACATTTTCATAATACTGTGTGTTTGCAAAGCACAGGCATGTTTTTAACATTGCTGCGTTATGTGGCTAATCCATATCCAGTGCATATGTACAGGTGCTGTCTTGGGAGGCCCTTGCTTCCTGTCCCATCTGGAACAATTCAGTTACCGCGTCCTCTAGCCTCCACACTGCCCCTGCCCTGTGCACCGGGCTCTGCAGGCACTAGTGGAGGGTCCAGACAGCCTTCTCACACTCCCATCGTGTCTTCCCAACCATGCCCATCCCAAGGTTTGCAGGGCCCTCGGTCATAGGCTAGCACAGCCCTTGTCTGCTCTCGGTCCTGACCGCGTTCTCTGTTCTAACGCCCGGCTCTTCTCTTTGCTTCCCGTCAAGTTCTCGCCATGCACGAGAATGTGCTCAAGTGCCCCACACCAGGCTGCACGGGGCGCGGGCACGTGAACAGCAACAGGAACTCTCACCGAAGGTAAGCCGGTGCTGCGGGCTCCACGCTGCAGCCTGTTCTCCCTCGCACCCTCCTCCTGACCAAGGGACAGAGGGCCCTCAGCACATAGTCCTAGAGGGCACGGAGGGCCGCCGCATGGGGCATGGAAATGCCAGAAGCTCAAGTGCCTTCTTTTGCAGAGTGGATATTTTCAGTGGACTCACCCACCCTGTCATAGCGGGCACCATCCTTGGTACATTTCAAAGGTGGGAACCATGACCATTTGCAATGACTGGAAGCAATGAGGCACAGGCCCCCTTGTACTCTGGTGTGCAGAAGGGGCTGTCCTGCTAATGTGTCACACAGGACGATCACCAGATGCAGTAGGACCTTGCAGTATGGGCTTCAAATTGGCTGCCCTTGAAATTCTGCTCAAACCCTAGTTCCTCAGCTTGGACATCATCAAAACACGAGCGCGTGTCCTGAAGTGCTGGTGAGGGAGCACTTGGGATGACAGTGAGCTGGGGAAAGGGACTTTCTCTGCACTGTTGCTGGAACTAAACATGCTCAGAATCACACTTTTTTTTTTTTTTGTCTTTTTGTCTTTTTTTTTCCGTGTCCGGCAACGGATCGCAACCCTCAGTGTTGCCCCCGTACCGGACCGGGGACTGGCAACGGGATCGCAACCCTCGGTGTTGCTCCCGCGCCTCGCTCAGCCAGTGAGCGGGAACTGGTCTGCTGTGGGATCCGAACCCTCGGACGGGAGCGCCGCCCAAGCAGCGCACTATCCAGTGCGCACTTCCCAAGCAGCGCACTATCCAGTGCGCCACCAGGCCGGCCCAGAATCACACTTTTGATTGTGACAAATTTCAGTTATCTTCTCTATTCAGACTATATAAGAGATACTTAGTCACTCATAATAGTCAGTTTCTATGAGATACCTATTTTTTTATTTTCAGAAGTAGAAAAGTGATTCTGTTAAAATTTGTTTTAGTCTATGGTTTCAGCTGTAGAAGCTAATGTAAAATTTTATCAAAATGGAGGAAATGGGGATAAATTTTACCTTAAATTTTCTTACCTGGCTGGTAAACTTGGTTACCAGTATTAAATTCATAACGAGGCAAATCACAACTCTGTGTCCTTCAGAGATTGCCCGGTACTTCGCAGACAGAGGAAGGATACACCCACGGCACAGAGCGCCCTGCGTGCTGAACCATGCAGTGTTTAGGAGGACGGCTCCTCCACCAAACCTCGCCACAATCACGTATTTTTGAGACACAACATACACATGCAGTGGTCATCTGTACATGTGTGCAGACGTGCACATAGACACACACAGCAGACCTCAGGATTCCATGAGGCATGAGCTCAAACACAGATGGCCCAGCTGTCGCCTCTTCCACACAGGCCAAGTCCAAACGAATTCGTTCCAAAAAACCCTTTACTGCAGTCCTAGATGTTATTCTGCGATCTTCCCCACTTTTATTTCACTGCTTGTGGTGAACACAAAAGGTCTAAGGTCAGACAGACTAGTCAAAGCCTCACGAGCCAATGACACTTACAGGACCAGCTCAGCACCCCATCTGCTGGGACCAGTCAGTCGGTGGCCATTCCTGGGCCTCCTAAAGACTCACCCTACACAAGCCACTAATTCCTCATCTCCCAAAATGGTGAGCATCAGAAAATGGAATCTGTGTCTAGCATTTTAACTAGCTCATGTTCTCTCGAATAAAGGAAATGTGGCTCGCTCGCGTTGGAGAGGACTGAGAACACTTTACACACAGTGTTACCATCAGCATCATATGTGGAAAACCAGGGGGAAAAACATGCAAACCAGAAACATGATTACTTATCCCTTTCCCACGTCAACCTCTCAGGATTCCCCATGACAGGTTTGGGAAACTACCTCCCAGCCCCATCCGCTTCAGTGTCATCTTTGCTAAGGGAGTATCAGCGTGTTGTAAACGAGGCAATTAAATCCCCTTTCTGTAATTGCAGCCTTTCCGGATGCCCTATTGCTGCAGCAGAGAAACTGGCGAAAGCCCAAGAAAAACACCAGAGCTGTGATGTGTCCAAGTCCAGCCAGGCCTCGGACCGAGTCCTAAGGTACCCACACAGAAGTGTGTCACCTCACACCGTTCATCTACAGTCCATCCAGATGCACTGCAGAGCGCTCAGGACACTAGATGAGGTGGCTGTTCCGACTTAGCAACAGGGACCAGGGGAGGAAGCCAGGGTGGGAGCCAAGACCTGCTCCCACCCCTCAGCCCTGGTGAGGCCACATGAGGGCTGGCGAGGGGGTCGTTTGACCTGCCCGGTCTCCACTGACCCACAGAGACTTTTCAAAAAAGAGAACTGAAAAAATTATTTCTATTTTTTTCTCCTGGCCCTGATATTTCATAATTCTAAGAATGCTACCTGTAAGGGGAGCTTTGATAATTAACGAGATGCTCTGAGTAATTTTATCCTAATTTGGGAGAGAGGACATGACACCAACCTACAGGATAGTGCTAATGTTTCTGAAAATGGAAGAGCGGTGTGCAGCACGGTGTGCAGACATGGAAGCTTCATCTAGGAAAAGCCATCAAAGCAGCCATCTATTTTTTCCTCAAACACCCTGAGACGTAGGTGGGATTAGATGTGATTTCTACCACTTGACAGGCAGGAAAACCCAGCATAGAGGTTAGATGACTCACCTGACATCACTTAAGCACTGAATGTTAAAACAGGAAAGATCTTGAGGGTTGGGTGGTTGAATCCACCATCTTTCAAATTTAGGAAAGGCCAGTGATGGGGTATGAGATAGAGGAGGAATATCATGTTCCCATAACCCTTATACATATCTGTAAGGGTTGCATGTCTCTTCAAATCCTCGTCCTCCTGAATACTGTGACAATCATCACATGTCCTGCCCGTTCACTCAATATCAGGCCAGAGCAAGCTCCCTTGTCTCCACGTAATAACCATGACTGTTGTATTAACAGCTATGTTTATTCTACGGTGCAGATGTACCACCAGGGCCAAAACTAGGCTCTCACTCTTAGGCATTTAGGTTGTTTCCAACTTTTAGTATTAAAGGGAGAGCAATAATAAACGTTTTTTGCCTCTGTTTAATTATTTCTTTGTGATAAGTCACTTGGAGAAAATCACTAGGCAAGTAGTATGAATTTTTGGATCTTGTGTGTTATTTCGCAGCTTCTATAAAGGATTTTACTGCAATAATTAAGTCCCTTTCTCCCTCAATAGAAAAGTTAAAATATATATAAGAAATTAGGAATATTTAATTAAGCAAACGTAAGAAAATGAAAACCCTCTATGATCCTACCATTCAGTGATAATTCCTCAATAAGTGTTGGTGTATGTGCTTCTGGATTTTTCTATGTCTCACATAGTTTCCCCTTTACTGTAACTCACCCATCTTACAGATAATAAGACTGAAGACTAAACCCATGACAGGACTGCCCCACCCCTCCCCTAACCCACTGTTAGTTGTTGGCAGCATGAAAATCCCCTTTCCTCCACCAAAAAAGAAAAAGAAAAAGAAAATACAGGGATGCATAATTCACGAACGGATGGTTTTTAGTTGAAGGAAACTTAGAAAAATGGTAGGGAGATATTACTTGCTGAGGTCTTTTATTGATTTTCCTCTGCCTACTTTGGCCAGACCCCCAGAAAATTTGAAAGAATCCTGTGCTTGGCCTTGTCTTGAAGACACCAGTGGCCGTGCTGTCCAAGAAAGTGTAGTTCTGTTTCCAGTGTTTGCATCGAACGTGGATTTCAATGAGAAGCTCATTGGCAGCTTGAGACCGAAGAGACGTGAATGTAATTGCAAATACCACCTTGCTCCAGCACAAGTCTCCTTTCTGATGTCCAGACCTAAAGCAACTGCCGTTTATGTTGTTTCTGTGGCTTTATAACTTAGGATCCCTTTCTTTGCATTGATGCAGTGAAAAGCTGCATCCAACACCAACTGAACAGAAGACTGTGGGCCAACAACTGTGCATGTACTAACAGTTTTCTTTATGTGCATCTGGCTAGGTGTGGGGAGCTAGGGTGGGACAGGGACCTTAGCGAAAAAACAGAAAGAGCCCATTCCAACTATTTAGGGAGGCGCCCAGGAGCCAGCCCAGGCAGCTGCGACTAAACAGCTGGCCGCAGCAGCTTCCTGCTCTCTACGGTGGAGCTTAACTTCTGGGCCAGCACGTTGGCCCTGCCTCCAGGGCTGCTGCAGGCTCCCTAGCACCAAAGGGCTAACCTGATGTGCCACAGTGTCTCCATGTAGGGGTGTTCATTCAGTGAGGGAAAGAAACAGACAGGAAGGAAGGACAGAGAAAAAGAATTAGGTGTACAATCATTCAGTAAGCTAAGGTTAAAAAAAATACTTAAATAAATATAAATTGTCCAACTGGCCCCTGAACCTTAAGGAAGTGCTTCCAATCTCATCCAAATCTGATCTAAAACCCTGGTTTGAGGCCGCCACCGTGGCCTTCACTTTGTCGTTGGAGTAACCACCTTCTACCTGAGGCCTCTACCCACTGCTCCTTCCTTCCTCTGATCCAGTCCTAATCTTTTCAAGGCTTGGGAATTATGCTTTTCCCAGGCCCAAGTCTTTTGGCCTTGCCTGCTGGGTAACTGAACAGATTGGCAACCTACTGATCTGATCCAAGCTCCCAGGGCCCTGCTCTCCCTGAAGGGAGCTCTCGGCTCTCCCGCCTCTGCACCTGCCCACTTGGTCATTCCTTTTCTGGAATACTTTCTCGCCCCACCCTGGGTCTTCACCTTAAAAAATTCACCTGTTCTGCAAAACCTACTTCAAATGTTGGCTTCTCCATTGAAACAACTGCGTCCCATAGCCTGAAGTGACCTGTCCTGTCCAGAATTCTCATAGCAGCTGAACTCTCAAAACATTATCCCATCCCACGTGATGTTTCAAGGCAAGACGTAGAGTTTATTCATTTATGTGCCCCATGCTGACTGGTAAAATGACTTAAAAATAATAGATACTAAATCAACTGTAACATTATTTTGTTGGTTTTATAAGTACTAGGCTAAACTAATTAATTCAAAATAAATGTGTTAGTGAGGGAGGGGGAAAAAGGAACGGGAAAAGGGACACGAAAATCAACTACAATGTATATTGAGAAGTTAAAAGGAAAAAAAGGAAAAAGAAATGTGTTGGTGACTTGATATATAAATTGAATATTTAACCATTGTTACGTTATAAAGGTGGTAGAGATATGCTATTATAAAAGTGACATATAAAAGCTGACTTGCTTTTCTTTTTAAAAATCAAGTTATCAAAACTTGTAACTGCCCCAACCCAACATCAATTTATGAAATAACTAGAGAAGAAAAAGATTACTGACATGGATGCATATTTAGTCACAATTTGTTATAGCAAAACAAAAAGAAAATCTAAAAGTTGAGAAATAGTTAAATAGTAAATATTACAATATTCATTGATTTTAATAACATGCAGCTATTAAGAACTGTTTTTAAATACTAAACAACAAAAAGGAAAATTAATGCCATATATTATAAAGGGTAAAGTATGTAAAAGTGCAAGATTCTATTTAAATAATTATAAAATGCATTAAATTAGCCAGAAAAAAGAAATACACCAAAATCTTAATGGTTTGTATCTCTAAAAAATCTATAGGTGAATTTTAAAATAGTTTTTGTATCTTCTAAATATTTTTTTCAGTAAATCACTAGTACTTTCATAATCATGAAAAGCAAAATAATAGTTTTAAAATTTATAAAGGGTAAAGTATGTAAAAGTGCAAGATTCTATTTAAATAATTATAAAATGCATTAAATTAGCCAGAAAAAAAAATACACCAAAATCTTAATGGTTTGTATCTCTAAAAAATCTATAGGTGAATTTTAAAATAGTTTTTGTATCTTCTAAATATTTTTTTTCAGTAAATCACTAGTACTTTCATAATCATGAAAAGCAAAATAATAGTTTTAAAATTTTTAGCCCTATGGCAATTATAGATGATCTGTGTGGACATATATGTACAACCTTTAGAAAGAGAAAAGTCCCAAGGGAAAATATATTTATTCAGACACACAAACAATACTTGTGAAAAATAAGTTAGGAAAGAAAAAGACCAAAACCTCTCAGATTACTGTCCACAGGGAGAGCCCATCAGGATATCTTTTTTTTTTTTTTTTTTATCTTTTTCGTGACCGGTAAGGGGATCACAATCCTTGGTGCGGTGTCGCCAGCACCGCGCTCAGCCAGTGAGCGCACCAGCCATTCCTACATAGGATCCGAACCCGCGACAGGAGCGTCGCTGCTCTTCCAGCGCCACACTCTCCCGAGTGCGCCAAGGGGCCGGCCCATCAGGATATCTTTTGCACGTCCATTGTCATAAAGGGTTTTCTAACTCACAGTGCACATTTGTACCTGCCAGTATTATAATTTCATACGTCTGCTAAGATTTCACACTGGTGCTTGAGGTTCAGGCAAAAAGCAATGGGGTCTTACTCAGAAGTGAGTGTCCTTCCCAAATGGACTGTGAACCTAACACTGATGCACGAATTTGCAACATTTTGCCTGTTCCTACTAAAACTTCAGACTTTGCTGGGTTTTTTTTTTTTTACATGTATTATACGTTTATAATATTTTTGTATTTATTATACATTTTACATAATTTAGAAAAGTACAAAATCATCAGGATTCTCTGTCCTTAAAATTCAGTATTTTTTATAGTGTACAAAAATGATGCTTATGTGAAAATGTCTAAGTATTTAAAAAAATATTTTACCTTGAGAAAAGTACAAAGAAATGACTGATTAGACTACAGAATTCCATGTTTAAACACATGTCTCCATCTATTCTACAAAACGCCTGACCAGTGCTCCTCAGAAGTTTCTGGGTCGTAAGGACAGGTGAGACAGAGGAGCTGTCGCGGGTTGGAGGAGGCAGGAAGAGGAACAGTTAAGCGAATGTGAGATCCTGGTATGGCTGTAACAGAAAAAGGACATTAGTGGAAAACTAGCCAGATCTGAATACAGTCCGCCTCTTACTAAATAACATTACTCTAATGTTAATTTCCTGGTTTTGATCTTTGCGCTATGGCTATGAAGATGCTGGCATGAGCAGACGTTAGTTAAAGGGAATAAGCGCACCCTCTGCACGACTTTTCTGTAAGTCTAAAGTTATTTCAATTAAAAAGTCTAGGTCCTGCTTATGAGATAGATGGATGCATAAATAGATGGACAGACACCTGCACAAAACAAGATAGACTGTCAACGAATGAGTAATACTCGAGTGCTCCCCCATTTAAATATTTTATTCCAAAGTTTAAAAGAAAATGACTACTAGGTAAAAATATCAAAAGTATATACTAATATTTGGCAAAATATGTGAGTATTACTACCTGTTCCATTTTATTGTCCAGCTAGACAAATAGTGATCTAGTTTTGTCTCAGTCTATGTCCTTAAGAGTATTTCTTTACTTCCTCTTATTTTTTAGGGGAAATTTCTTATTAACTCACGTCATTTCTGTGTGATTCTACTACTCTTGATAACCACTGCAAAGAAATCACATGGATGTAAGATTCTTCCCCACCCTCATACCTCCTATCTTTATCGTACCTACCAGACCTCTTAAAAGAGAGAGAGAAAAAAAGAGAAAGAAAAATATTTTATTTCTTATTATTTTTATTGCCAACGTTGACTTCTAGGCATATAGTTTATTTGGTGCTATATCATTAAAACACACTTTGTCTTTTCTGAGGAAAATAAAATTGTAATTTTAGTGTAAGCTTCAGATTCCTTAACATATTTAAGAAATAAGCTGTTCTGGTTTAATTGTGAATCGTGTTTGCACCATCATGGAAAGCAAGCCGTTTCCTGTTGTCTTGTCTCCTTCCAGGCCAATGTGCTTNTTATTTTTTAGGGGAAATTTCTTATTAACTCACGTCATTTCTGTGTGATTCTACTACTCTTTCTAACCACTGCAAAGAAAACACATGGATGTAAGATTCTTGCCCACCCTCCTATCTTTATCGTACCTACCAGACCTCTTAAAAGAGAGAGAGAAAAAAAGAGAAAGAAAAATATTTTATTTCTTATTATTTTTATTGCCAACGTTGACTTCTAGGCATATAGTTTATTTGGTGCTATATCATTAAAACACACTTTGTCTTTTCTGAGGAAAATAAAATTGTAATTTTAGTGTAAGCTTCAGATTCCTTAACATATTTAAGAAATAAGCTGTTCTGGTTTAATTGTGAATCGTGTTTGCACCATCATGAAAAGCAAGCCGTTTCCTGTTGTCTTGTCTCCTTCCAGGCCAATGTGCTTCGTAAAGCAGCTCGAGATTCCTCAGTATGGCTACAGAAACAACGTGCCCACCACCACGCCACGTTCCAACCTGGCCAAGGAGCTCGAGAAGTATTCCAAGACCTCGTTTGAGTACAACAGTTACGACAACCATACTTATGGCAAGCGAGCCATAGCTCCCAAGGTGCAAACCAGGGATATGTCCCCCAAAGGATATGACGATGGTAGGAGGTGCACACTCTTATACACGAGAGACGCGTCGCCATTGATGATGTTGTTGTTGTGTGTATCATGTCCTACAGACCAGCCAAGCCCTGTGACTGCACAATGGTGCCCACAGAACAGGGTGTGGCCACGTGCAGAAAGCCCCCAGGTCCATACAGGTGCAGGTGAACCTGGGTGGGGAGAGGGTGGTTTTCCCTCAATTAATTCAAAAGCAGTACATTTTGGCTGCTTGAACATTGTGGAGAGAGGGGATGCTTTTCTGTATTGGTAAGACAGAGTCCTTATCATAACAAGCTGCTTTTAGACAGACAGCCCTTCAACAGGCATGGCAGGGATAGCCAGTGGTCCAGGCCTGCATGCCGGGCTGTTTGGAGAAGCTCTGTATTTCCTATGTGCTCTCAGACTTGGATGCACATTAGAATCATCTGGGGAGATTTTTTTTTTTTAATTCCTATACCCAAGCTGCACCTCAGACCAATTAAATCAGAATCTCCGGGGGCATTCTCTGTGCAATGGCATTTTTTAAAAGCTTACCAGAGGTCCTAAGTGCAGCCAAGGGCTGGCAACTTTGCCCAGACTCTGCACAGTGGCCGAGGACCTTGTGTTCTGAGGTAGCAAGGGAAACAGTGGAAAGGAAGGGACAGCTATATGTTTCGCTACCTGGGCGGCTTGGTTTCTGGGCTACCGTGGTGTCCACTGTGCAACAGAACTGATGGGACAAATGAAATGCCATGTGCTTCACAGGAAGAGCATGGTTTATTGTCCATTCGTGCTTATTTGATCCACTGCCAATGGCATGAACCAGTTACCATTTCATTACAGAGCTAATTTGGTAAGTAGTTTATCACTAGAAGGGGAGACTGTATTTCTTTGATTTTATTTATTCATCTATGTGTCTGCTTTCAATTCCAGGATATATACCCAGAATTTTAGAAATGGCAAATTTTACCATTTGGGGTTTGGGGTGTGACGCTCAGCCAGTGAGCGGGAACCAGTCTGTATGTGGGATCCGAACCCTCCGCGGGAGCGCCTCCGCGCTCCCAAGCAGTGCACTGTAGCAGTGTGCCACCGGGCCGGCCTAGATGTTCATTTTTATACACCTATTTTTTGTTGCTTTTCTGTGTGTCCTGATTTTTTAAACTTTATTGCTGTGGTTTGACTCTAGCCTTAGATTGGAAGGGAACTTCTGGGCAGTGTGGTGACCTCAGAGCATATCTTCACAGTTACAATGCCCTTTAGTGAACTAGAAGCCAAATCTGCCTGAGTCTGTTCTCAGCTCTCCTGCTATGAACTGCACGGTTGGGTAGGTTAACTTTTCTGTGCATTAGTTTCCTCACGGGTAGAGCAGGCCTAAGAGTTCCTGTCCTGCAGACGTCACAGGGCTGTCACGAAAATCAGTTGAGACGAGACAGTATGCATGGATGCACTTGGCCAACTGCAAAGAAATGAACAAATATATGTTAATTATTGTTAATTCTCATGTGCCTAGCAAAATGCCTATTGTCAGAAACTTGGGCTGAGCCAAGCTTCTCAGCTGACACACTAGAAAGCAACAGTCCACTGTGCCTACATGATGAAACCCCCATATTAGGTCTTCAGGAAACCAAGAAAAAAGGCAACACAGCCTTTTACCACAATTTACTGAGAAAACAAATTGACGACTCTATTTCTGTTCCACTAGATTCATCTGACAGATTTTAAAAACATCAGGGAAAGTTCTCTCGCAGCGTAAGATAGGCAGGGTCAGAGCTGTTGATAGGACATGATACAAGGGGACTATTCCTGGAGCTAGACACCAGGTGACAGACACTAACTGTAGAGGGACTGCCATCTGCAGTTACCTCCACCGTGTCTTTGCCAAGCCTCAGGTCAGGTGCACAAAGAATAGAGTCATGGCTTCTGAAAAAAGGCAGAGAAGGAGCCTATTGCAGGACTGGGGGACGAGGAGTATAATTTTTAGGGAATAAAGGGCAGGGTCATGGGGATGCAGAAGGGAATAGAAAAGTAGGGCCCCTCTCTCCAGAATGGGATATCATCCCTTAAATCACAACAACTGTGATCAAATACCCTCGGCAAACCATTATCTAGATCCCTGCATCCTTCCAGATGCTGTGCCAGGTGCTTGCTGTCTGTCTACCTGCCTGCCTGTCTGTCTATCCATCTAATCTTTCCCTCCGGACAATGAATATCAGAGAAGAGATCACAAATAAGTACAAGATAGACACATACTAAGGCACAGTGAAGCAAAGCATCTGCTCTGCCTGCAGGAGTTAGTGTGAGCTTTACCAAGGTGGCAAATTTTAAGCTGGATAATGAAGTTTGCATAGAAATCACACAAAGGTGGGGAAACCCACAGGTTTGCAAGGAGGGCCAGTGGTCTGGGAGCTGGAACTGAGGCTCATGAGAAGGAACAACAGGACCCCTGTGGGGCTTCATATCTGTGCCAGGCTGAGGGGCTTGAGGTGCCCTCCTTGCAGGCAATGGGAATTCATTTGGATGTGGGGCAAAGGAGGCAAGACAGGATGGGCGCCCCATGTGGGAGTCAGGGCCTGCCCTCTCCTGTGAGCACCAGGCCCCCATCTCAACACGCCTGTTTCATGGAATGAACTCAGAATGGCTTTTACAAGTTTAAATAGTTGGAGAAGAAACCAAAATGATAGTAACATTTTATGATGTAAACATGATGCAAAACTCACATTTCCACGTCTTTGGCAGAGCTGAGTCTTGGAGATGATGACCGCAGGGTCCCCAAAGCCTAAGTTATTCATTGTCCTTTACAGAAAGAGTCGCCTGCCCTGACTTCACTCTGGGTCTTTGGGGTTTGTTTAAACCCATTCGGTCCCCAGCCCCAGTGGGCTTACTCCCAGGGCCTCCCTTTTCATCATGCTCGACTTACAGTGTCTCAAGAGCTTAAACCTTCTGATCATCTTTGAACTTTTTTCCACTGCTCAACTGCCACTCACTCTCCAGTCCTCCTGCCCCTTACTCTGGTCCAGGCCTTCCCTGGCCCTCATCGCCTGGCCCTTCCACGCCTGCTCCTGACAATCCATCCTCCCTCTCCGGGGCCTTCCCTCGACTCTGCACCCGGCCACATGCTCTCCCGCCTCCACTCCCAGCAGCAGATCCTCCTGACTGCTTCCCGGGTGCTGTTGGTGGGGGACGTGATGCCCACACTCTGCACCTCATCCCTTGGTGATTTCACTTCTGAATGTCTCGTCCTGCTACTAGACTCTAAGCTCCCCGTGGCCAAGAGGCCTCCTCTTCAAATTTGCTCAAACCCCAATGCCAGTGCAGGCTGAGCAGACAGAAGCCGTCTGCTTCTGTGCGCCAGGTGTGTGCTGACTGCCAGGGAGACTGAAGTCAAGAATCCTTGCTCTGATCGGACCTAAATTCAAGTCTTGTGAGTGAACTATTTGCATTGCAGTTGTAATCTAACAGGACAGTCTTACAAGAAAGCTCCTTTGTTTTCCCATGTAGGATTATACATCTGTATTTCAGTTTACTTATGGTAAAACTATGTAAAGACTATAAGAACCGGTGCTAGAAATTATGAGGTAAGCCTGAAGGTTACCAGGTTCCACCTGGTAGGAGACAACCTCCTGATGGGTATCTTCTGATTGCCTTCTTTTTTGTCTGGTTTTCATGGAAATGCAGGATCGTAAGGACATATTTATGTATTCCCTACAGGAAAATGCTAATAATTAAGGAAATGAACACTCCTACAAGAACTAGACATGCACATTTAGTAAGAATTCCACAAGCAGAGTAGGCAAATAAAAAGATTCTGGCTGGAAGGTTTTTTGCTTTTTTAAAAAATGTATGTATACAGCCATATTTAATCACTATAAATCCTGTATTCTTTTTCCTTTTCCTGCAATAGAGGAGATAGAATACTGAAGGAGGTGTTTCTCAGTGTGGTTTAATGAGTCACATGCAGATGAAGAGATCAGAGTAAAAGCAATCGTAGTTCTCCAGTACCCAGTGGCAGGCTGTGCACCTAGAAGAACATGAACAAAGTCTTGTCTGCTGGTTGATTGAAAAGCAATTTGATTGAAAATACCTTTGTTGGCCAAAAGAAAAAAGAATGTGGATTTTGTGGCTGTTAAAAGGCTCTTATCTGATGAAGTGGGGGCTGGGTCAGTCCTGGGGAAGAGGAGGATGTCTGTGGCTCTGTGGCACCCCCCAGTGTCAGTGCAGTAACCCAGAGCAAC